ATTCTAGAGGAAGGGAAAAGGAACCAATATTGGGATATAGTTTCAGTTAATATTGACCACAACAGAAACAAGTTGTAGGTAATAAGCTAAATCTCTTGTGCTGTTTATTTATTCATGATGACTTTTCATAAACTATTAAGTATAATAGCTTAAGTTAAATAGACTTTGAGGCCATTCTAAGATGATGATGTTTCTATATAGCAAACGACAGCAGAACTGTAGAGAATAAGTTCCATGTTTAAGGTTTTTATAATTCAGGAACTATCTTTTAATTCTCCCTTTTATCTTTTATAGAAAATCTTTGATACAAACTTATTTTAAAAAGCAGTATTCAAAAGATCAAGAATCATGAAAAGAGAAAGTAGAGTTTATAATAAAGGATACGAATCTGATATTTATCTATTTAATCTTAGTTTAAAAAGTCCATGTAGTAGCACTAGAGAAGTTAATAATACTAATGGAGATCTGTGTAATTAGTACTTTTTAAAAGGGAAAATACATAAAATATTGTTAAAATATATTTTTATTTTCTTATATTTTACTATTCTAACGTGTAAATAGTGAAACTTAGAATATTCTAAATAAGTCATTAGTTTGGATTTTCAAGGTAATTACCTGTCAAGGTTTGGCTCACACTCGTAGATAATCACATTACTAGCAGGTTATTGTCTGTGATAGTAGAACTTGTGCATTGCAACCATTCACAGATGTGAGAATGGCATCTCTTAGGTTATATAACATGATAATGGCTCTGTCTACCAGAGGCTTGTGAGACCCACACCAATGCCATGCTGTGTGTATTTGTAAGCCTATTTCTATTTTTTCTATTTTGTATCTGTCTTTCTCCCTTTTTGTTGTTAAAATACAAGTTACACTTTCGTGTAAATGATGATAAATTGTATAGCGATTTTAATGTTTTATAGTGATAGAGGTTATTTCACAAATTGTTTTCACAAATAGTTGTGCATTTGTTTATTTCAACCCTTAAAGATATGTTAATATGAGATATATGTATAAAATATAATCACACACACAGAAAGTGTACTGTCAAGGAATCAAGATACTGCCGGGCACCAGTGGCTCACGCCTGTAATCCTAGTTACTCAGGAGGCTGAGATCTGAGGATCGCAGTTCAAAGCCAGCCTTGGCAGGAAAGGCTGTGAGACTTTTACTCCAGTAAACCACCCAGAAAACTGGAAGTAGTGCTGTGACTCAAATGGTAGAGAGCTCGCCTTGAGCTGAAGAGCTGAGGGACAGTGCCCAGTACAGAGTTCAAGCCCCATGACTGACCAAAGAAACAAACAACAAAAACCCCAAGAATCAAGATACCCTCTTTTTTTGTTGGTTTGTGAGACTTGAACTTGGGGCCTGTGCACTGTTCTGAGTTCTTTAGTTCAATGTTAGTGCTCTACCACTTTGAGCCATAGCACCACTTCCTGTTTTCTGGTGGTTAATTGGAGATAACGATTCTCTTGGACTTTCCTGCCTGGGCTAGCTTTGAACCTTGATCCTCAGATCTCAGCCTCCTGAATAGCTAGGATTAGAGGCATGAGCCCCCAGTGGCTGGCTCAAGACATGCTCTTATTATTTGGTCTTGAGTTCTGGAATTAGTTTTACTTGCAAAATCTTGTTTTCCACTTTTACTCTTTTGGGTCCTATTGGCACATAGCAATGCTACTGATTTTTTTTGAAGGAGATTTGTATCCTACAGCTGTTTTGAGTTCACTTTTTAGTTCTTTTTTTTTTTTTTTTCTTTCTTCTATCCCTTGAGACAGGATTTTGCAATGCAGCCTGTCCTCAAATTCATGAACCTTCTGTGACAGCCTTAGAATGCTGAGATTTACAGGAGAGCACCACCACACCCAGCTCATGCTCCTATGGAGCACAGGATTGAGCATAAAGGCTTGGGAAGAATTTATGGCTGTTTGCATTCTGCCATATGCCTTAGTTTTACTGATACCTCTGTTTCATTAAAATTTCATTCACATGTTTATCGGGTTCCTGTGTTGTAGTTGGGATTCTAAAATGCAAGCAAAACAGTTATATCTATTAAGAAATGATAGTGCTGTCTTGGTGGGGTGGCACATACTTATAATGCCAGCAGCTTTTGAGGCAAATATTAGGAGGATATGGTGGCCTAAGGAAAGTTAGCAGGAGACCCACTCAGAAAAAGTGAAAGCAAAAGGACTGGGTAGTGGCTTAAGTAGTAGCGTACTTGTTTGCTGTGGTCTGAGTTCAGACCTCAGCATTGCCAAAAACAGAAACAAACAGTAAATGAGATTCCTATCTTGTCACTATGTACTTAACGCATACTTTGGACCCTTTATTAAGAACTATAAGAATATGAAAACAGAGGCAATTTTCTTCTAAACCGTCTTCCCCTATTCTATAGCTGTATTTTTGTTTTTATTTTATTGTGTTTCTGAATTGTCAAATAACTTAATGTGTTACCTGATAATTACAGATCTACTGTTTTAACAATGACAATTACCTAATTTGTTAGGATGCCTCTGTTTAGGGCTAAGCGGAATAAACAACATTTGTTGAATTTATACAAGGTGCATTCACTAGGCCAGACAAATTGCTTAATACCGGATATAAGAATACCTTTGTACCAAGCATCACACACACACACACACACACACACACACACACACACACACACACACACACACACACACACACACACACACACACACACACGTGTGTACTATAATTGCAAAAGGACTTACTTTATTATTGTATTAATTGTTAAGTGAAAATAATTTAATTCTTATTTTGATTGAAGTTATATGGATATTTTTGAAATAAAATGTTAGGTATCACCTTACAGTTGAAGAATTTGCCAGATGTGATGAGGAACTGGCTCCCCCTTGTGGCATGTTCCTTTTGGTAAGGATAATGATCAGCAGGCTTCATTTTTTAAAATGAAGAGTGACTACTCTTCCCTCCGTCCCTGCTTCTTGCCCCCTGTGGCAAACAACTCATGAAAATGAACCAACAGCTGATTATTCTCTTTTCTTATACATTGATGCTGTTATAAGCTAAAGTTCATATATCATATTTATGATGGATCATTATTCTGAGTGTCTAGGTATGTTCATAGGTACAATAAAATAGCTACAAAATAAGCAGGGTTTAAAGACCAAATAGATTGTATAGTATTAGACAAAATAAGTTAGGTTTACTTGCTGTGAGATTTATGAGAAATTTAAAGGGTCAACATGTGATGAACCTTTTAGGCAAAAGGATTTTCTAAACTTATTGGAGTTACATAATTCTATTTTGAGGATCATTCACATGAGTCATTATTTAAAAAACCTTAACACTGCTGTATTTGCTTCATCCATGTAACAATCTTTGTAAGTAAAATAAAACAGTATTATCCTGGGAGTCAGTAGTTCATGCCTATAATCCTAGCTTCTCAGAAGGCTCAGGCTTGGAGGATGACAGTTTAAAGCCAGTCTAGACAGAGGAGTTTATGAGACTCCATCTCCAGTTAACCAGCAAAAAGCAAGACTAAAGAGGTGTGGTTCAAATGGTAGAGACCTAGTTGAGAAAATGTTGAGTGAACCTGAACAAGGTTGAGATCTCTCTGTTCAGGATCCTGGTACTGGCAAAATAAAAACAGAAACCCAACAGTATGTCTTAAAGTCTTATTTTTGGTGATATATTTACTGTTAGGATAATTTTTTTCATTTTGTAGCAAGCAGATGTCAGAATGATAAGAGCTCCAGCTTGTTCTATTTATTTTTCATTTAGATAATCTTATGTATTTATGTGGAAGAATTAATTTTAATGTAAGTGTAATTTAATTATTTTTGTTAATCAGAATTTCTGAGATTTTTTTTCTGAGATTTTTTAAAAACATAATTGATGTTATGTTCTGATATATTTGCTAGAGTTTTGATTGATGCTTTTAGCATTGTTAAACTATACTACTGAAATGAATGCTGATGACCGATTTGTTTTTTTCTTATTGTGGTGCTACTGTTCACTTTTAGCTCTATTAGAATAGGATATGGCAGAACCTTTAAGGAGACAGAAAAAAGATAAAGCTGAGTATAAGATGGTGATACAAACCTGTTATGTAATTTGGGATCTGGAGAAATAGGATTTGGTTCTGTTTATGAATTTGTAATGGTTAATGGTAGTGAATTTGGGAATTCTGTTAACAAAAACTTATTAAAATAAGAACAATTTTTTTTTGGGGGGGGAGTCAGTCATGGGGCTTGAACTATGGGCCTAGGTGCTGTCCCTGAGCTCTTCAGCTCAAGGCTAGCACCCTACCACTTGAGCCACAGCACCATAGCCACCACTTCCACTTTCTGGTGGTTAATTGGAGATAAGAGTCTCATGGACTTTCCTGCCCAGGCTGGCTTTGAACTGAGATCTTCAGATAAATTTATATAATTATGTTTTCTTTAGTGAATGGAGGGAAAGCATTCCAGTTAAGGAAAACAGAGCTCACGGAACTTCAGCTATTTCTGATAGTCATATAGCTGGAAGATAGGAAAGGTAAATTTGGGACCTAGGATTCCTCATTTTAGTTTCTATCTAGCTGGTTTTAATCACAGTTTGCCAACCAGCTTCCAATTAATACCTTGAAATCTAGAAAGATCATTTCTAGTGACCCTTTGGACATACAAACCACTGATACTGTTTACTATAATATTTTTGAAAATTATAATAAAACTATGAAATAGTACTTCAGAAAAATGTAAGTGTATGTACTTGTAAATATAATTTCAGTTGGCATTATAGCTCTAATAATGAAGTCTAGGTTTATAAGAACATAGTTGTCTGGAATTGTTTATTTGAACGTAGGAATACTTAGAAGCAAAGTAAAATAGCTTCATTATGTGCATTTTCAATGCCTTGTTAATAAAGGCTTTTTGGGTTTGATATATAGTCCAATATTTTGAGCCAATGTGTCATATTGTTATACAATGAAGGAAGCATTATGTTATGTGTAACATAATTAAATTTGTATTCTTCAGGTAAAAAGAACGTATTCTCATGGTACTTACAGAGCTGGCCCAATGCGACAAATAAGTTTGGTGGGAGCAATTGATGAAGAAGTAGGAGATTACTTCCCTGAGTTCCTTGACATGTTGGAAGATTCGCCATTTTTAAAAGTAAGAAAACAATCTCAACAATGTAAATTTGGATGCAACTTTCAGGCTACAGGTGGTAATAAAAATGAAAAGTTATTTCAGAATTTTTAAAAATTGAAATTTATTTAAATTGGAAAGAAGAAAATGAAGAGATGGGGAACAGTAATCTGTGTAGTGTGTACTTGAGACTTCTCAAGTCTTAATTATAATGGTATCTCTAAGTGGTAAGTTAGAAAAATAACATTTACCTATTGCTACTACTTGAGAAAATAAAATTCTGTTTTATCAGGTCTTTATAGACAAAGTACCAAAGGATTTTAGAATTATAGGAAGGATGCCTACTAAATTAAGATGTTTATGACAAAGGAATAGTAGCTTGGCGTTATGAAAAATGGGCCTGAGGAATTAAAATTTGTATTTTTGCTTTGGATATATAAGTGATTTCTGTCCAGATTCTCTTAAAAAATAGCCTCTTCAGCCAGGTGTGGAGGCTCATGCCTGTAATCCTAGCTACTCAGAAGGCTGAGAACTGAGGATAACGGTTCAAAGTCAGCCAGGGCAGAAAAGTCTGTGAGACTCATTTCCAATTAACCACCAGAAAACCAGAAGTGGTACTGTGGCTTAAGTGATAGAGCACTAGCCTTGAGCTGAAGAACTCAGGGACAGCTCCCAGGAGCAGAGTTCAAGCCCTGTGGCTGACCTTCTCTCCCTCCCCCCCCCCCCCCAAAAAAAAAAAAAAACCTCTGCATTCTGGGAAATGTTTCTTATTTTCTTTTTTTGTTTTTTGGCCGGTTGTGGGATCCTGAACTCTGGGCCTGGGCGCTGTCCCTCAGCTCTTCAGCTCAAGGCTAGCGCTCTACCACTTGAGCCATAGCGCCACTTCCGGCTTTTTCTGCTTATGTGGTGCTAAGGAATCGAACCCAGGGCCTCAGGCATGCAAGGCAAGCGCTCTACCACTGAGCCACCTTCCCAGCCCGAAATGTTTCTTTTTTTGTATGCCAGTCCTCAAATTTGAACTCAGGACTTGGGCTCTTTCCCTTAGCTTTTTTTCTCAAGGCTGGCATACTACCACTTGAACCACAGCTCTACTTCTGGCTCTTTGCTAGTTAATTAGAGATAAGAATCTCATGAACTTTCCTGCCTTGGGTGGTTTTGAATTTCACTTTTCAGATCTTAGCCTCCTGAGTAATTGGCTGTGAGAATCACTGACATCTGGCAAATTTTTCATACTGTGAAAGAGAGTAAATAGTTAATGGTAGTTACTAGATTGTTATGCTAATTGTTTAATCAGTAATTCAAACTATGTCAGAGTGAAATGTGGGATCCAAGTATACACTCAGAATGTAAGATCAATTTATTTCTAGTCCCACATAATGTTATACACTTCTTCTGGTTGGTGGGCCTGAACTCCTGGCCTGGGCACTGTCCCTCAGCTCTTTAGCACAAGGCTAGCACTCTACCACTTGAGTCACAGCTCCACTTCTGGCTTTTTCTGCTTATGTGGTGCTGAGGAATCAAACCCAGGACCTCATGCTTGCAAGGCAAGCACTCTACCACTGAGTCACCTTCCCAGCCTCTGTTATATGCTTCTGTTCTTGCTTTTATAAGCTTTATTTATATGCCATATATTTCTATATCTTACGTATTTTTTCTTTCAATCTATTCTATTTCTTTTACTCTTTCATTATTTTAAAACTTCTTTGTTACTTTTTCTATTTCTTCTAGTCGTATCATGCAAATTAGTTGCATTTATTATTTAATAGTCCTTTTGAAAACATTATTTAATGATGTTCAAATAGTTCCTTCAAATTCAATTTCTAAAGTAGATACATTGAAAGGAAGCTTTATGAAAAGTTAACAATCTTCCTTTCAATAGGGGATCTAGAGTAATTTTCTTTTTCTTTAGTTCTGGTCCCATGGCATGGGCTCTGTCCCTGAGCTTTTGTGCTTAAGGCTAGCATTCTGCCACTTGAGCCATAACTCTACTTCTAGTTGTTTTGGTCTTAATTGGAGGTAAGACTCTGATGGACACGTCCAATCTGGCTTGGAACCTCAATCCTCAGATCTCAACTTCTTGAGTAGCTACAATTACAGGCTTGTGCCACCAGTGCCCAGCTAAAATAATTTTTTAAAAATAGTACCACAGTTTAAACTTAGGGATCTTGCATATGCTCAGGTTTACTGAGTTTGTTCTTGCCTACTTCTTCACTTGAGCTATGCCTCCAGCCTAGCATTTATTTTAATGGTTAATTGGAGATTGAGTCTCATAGGCTTTTCCATCCAGGGACTTTGAACTCAATACTCCAGATCTTACCCTCCTGAGAAGCTAAAATTAGAGGGAGAGGTCAAGCTTTTTTGTTTTGTTTTGTTTTGACGGTTGTGAAGCTTGAACTCAGAGCCTGGATGCTATCCCTGAACCTCTTGTACTCAAGGCTAGTGTTTCTACCACTTGAACAATAGCATCACTTCCGGTTTTTGGGTGGTTAATTGGAGATAAGAATCTCATGGGGACTTTGCTGTCATGCTGGCTTCGAAATGAGATCCTCAGATCTCAGCATCTTGGTAGCTAGGATTATAGGTGTGAGCCAATGGGGCCTGGCTTTTTGTTTCCTCCCCAATTCTGCACAGAAATGGAGGGATAAAAGATGGACAAATGTAGCAGTGATACTCATTAGCCAGTATGTTAAAAACTATACAACTTGTGGGTGGGAACGGGAGGGAAAAACAGGGAGAAAATGATTGAAGGGGTAACAATGTTCAAAAATAAATATTTTTTTATCTGACTTATATAACTGTAACAATAATTGTTTATGTAAATTTATGTAACAATAAATTTTTTTAAATGATGAAAAAATAATTTCCATTCTATGGACAATGTTGGCCAAATGTATGGCTTCCGCCCTTCTTTTACAATATTTGGTCTCTGGGTTAGGCCACAAGCTCCCCAAGGAACTACTATGTAGAAATTTTAATTTTGATTGTTAGTATTCAATTTTTTACTAATTAAAAAGCTAAACAATTTAAAAAGTTTATTGTTTGCTTCTATACACTGTAATAGAATGCTCTTGCTTATCTTGTTAACTTGTTAAAATCATATGATCCATCGATTTGGTAGAACAAAGAATAACATGATGAATAGCATGCATCATACCTGTGGAAGAGTGGGGTAGTGAAATGTCACTGCCCTATCCTGGAAATTGTTTGTATGTTTGAAGTAGATGATTTTGAAGTGAAATGTATGAATGTGTGGGAATATATTCTATATAGCATGCATTTCAAATGTTTAAGCTGTTTATTAATATGTATTTATGAGGGAAGCAATAGCCTTTATTGTATATTCATATATTTTTAAAAATAATTCATTTCTATATAATTATCTATCTCTAGTGTACATTGCCATGGGGGACACTTTCTAGTCTACAGTTAGAGAATCGCAAAGATAGTGATGATGGTCCCATCATGTGGGTACGTCCAGGAGAACAAATGATCCCTGTGGCTGATATGCCAAAGTCACCCTTCAAAAGGAAAAGGTTTGTTAAATTTTTCTTTTTCCTTAGAATGGCGATATGTTGGGGTATATGTGCAATAGTTGGGAAGTTGGACGTTTAGAACATGACTGGAATGTACATTAAAAAATACATATTGATAGTAACTTTTTTAAAAACAGCCAAATTTAGCAAATGAGTTATAATTAAAAATTGAAAAATGTTATTCATAGAAATTTAGAAGAAATTTAACATGTATTGTCAGGACCTGTATTAAGAGAACTAAATACTCTTATGGGAGGTATAAAATAATATCAAAACAAATAGAAAACCATATTATGTTCTAGATTGGATAAGAATGAGAGCCTTTAAATATTTTTTTTCATCTCAATTAGACTCACATACTGCCTAACATGAGATAAATGTGTTTAAAATTTGTAGGAAGAAACTGGAAGAACAAAATAAGGGGGAATTTGTTACTAGATTTGAAAATCGTTATCAAAATCAAATTAATCATTGGAGTGGGATAAATTCTGAAATATATTGTAGCATATTGAGAACTTAATATCTGAGACAGTGGAGAAAGGAAGGTTTATTTAATGATAATGTTGGCATTATTGGCAGTCTTATCTGAAAGAAAAAATAAGGAAGAATCCCTGTTGTGCTAGAAATAAATTAGAGGTTAAATATAAAAGATAAACAAAAAAAATCAGCATTAAGTATTTAAGCCTGGAACTCATCTTCCTAAGCAAGATAATGGAATATAATTGCAGTGCTGTTTGGGAGACAATAGTTATTAACAATAAGTTCAAATCTATCTTACACTAACCTAAAATAATGATAACATATGATACTCAAGTTTAGTATGCAAAAAAATTCATTCCAAAACTTATACAAATATAAAATAGCAATATAAAATTGGACCTAGGCAGGCCAGTTTATGTAAAAAAAAGTCTAGATGTTGCATGCCATTATATTGACAGAAATTATCAATAAAATAATGTTATGGGCTAGTAGACATGTGAATAAAATCTTTAATATATTGTTACAGAGGGTAGGCTTCTATATTCATTTTGTCAAAGTACTCTGGCAATAGCTTTTTCAATTTAATATTGAATTTAGTATCCTTGCTTTTAGGAATCTATCCCAAGAAATAAAAGCACTAAAAGTTAATATGTAAGGACATTAATTGTCTCAGTGTAGTAAGAAAAAAAATCAATCTAGTCTGAATGTTCATCCACAAGGGAATGGGTGAATACACATTTTGTACATTCTTACTCAAGTATGTTGAAATAGTCTTTAGAAAGGAAAATAATGACACCTTGAAAAAGCAAATGGAAAATAATAAATAATGTATGTTTTTTTTTTTTTTTTGGTAGTAGTGGGGAAGATTAAGACAGAGCCTTGTCTCATAACCCAGGTTGGCTTTGAACTCATAATTCTCCTGTCTCAGCTTCTGCAGTGTGAGGATGTTTTTGATGTTTGCCACTAAGCCTGGCTTATGATTCTATTTTTATGATAACATCCACATGTAAATATATATTTATGTGAGCACAGAGAAAAGTTGCAAAAATAAACAATAAGTTAACATTGTTGACATGAGGTAAGACTAGTGTAGACAATACCTTTTATTTTAGATTTCTAAAATTGTCAGATGAGTTACAGTAATTATTAAAGAAATAAAAGGAAAAATACACAGAAAAGAAAAGAAAAAGAGCAAACATGGACTACGTCAGACCTCTTACTAATGTATCTCTAGCATCTACAGTGTCAGCTGCTTAATAAATTATTGATGAATGAAATTTTACAGCAAATGAAATTTATAGCAAATGATAAAATTAATGTGTTTCTCAGAGATTATTACCTTTTTTTCAAGCATTGTGCTAAGTGCTGCATATGTATTAATTCATGTGAATTTGGTATTAATGAGACCAATCTTGTAGGCTCGAAAGCCTGTTAGTTTCTATAAAAAGGCAACAATATTAGCCAACTTTCAGATCTACACAGAACATTAAAAGAGCAAAAAAGTTATAGCAATGTGTGTGTGTGTGTGTGTGTGTGTGTGTGTGTGTGTATGTATATGTATATATATGTATATGTGCACGTGCACTAATGCAGTGTTTCAGAGTGGTAAGTAGCAGTTAAGAGTGGGAAATGAGAAACTAGTGATACCTAGGAGGAAAACCTAGTATTTAGGGGGATTTTTTTTTTTTAATTGGAGGGGATTACTGGTTCTGGGTTCTGGAGACTGTTGCTGAGCTTTTGTGCTCAAGGCTATATCACTCTACCACTTGAACCATAGCTCCACTTCTGGCTCTTTTGATAGTTAATTGGAGATAAAGAGTCTCACAGACTTTCTAGCCTGTGCTGGCTTTGAACCACCATCCTTAGATCTCAACCTTCTGGGAAGCTAGGAGTACAGGTGTGAGCCACCAGCACCTAGCTACAATTAAAATTATTAAACTCACAAAATGATGACATAGTCTTTGCCTTCAAATGTTAATTATTGATTCTAAAGCCATGATGGAAGCACACAAAAACTATATTCTGTAAAACAAAAGAGATTTTTCAGTATATGTGGATACTGCAGAATCTGTTTACAACCTCTCTTTTCTTTCTATAAATAAAATACTATGGTGGAAGATAGATGATGGCCAGAGTTGATTTCACTGTTTTATCCACTAGATAGTAAAACTGCAATGAGTGAGGCTAAGTAGTTAGCAAATTCTATATGCTTATAGATTAAAGAAGGGGAACAATGGAGGAAAGGTCACTGGAAGATGCTGTCATAATACAGTGTAAACAAAGTTTGTTTTTATCGTCAATAAACTGCCCATGTTGGTGGAAGTGTTTACTCCCTGTTTGTGTGTGTATGTGTGTGTGTTTCCTTGCTTAACTTGATTTTTATCCTTCTCTCACTTTCAGAAGTAAAGGGAAACTTTTTTCTGTCAGGGGCTATTTCGATATTTTTATCATTAACAGGCTACACAAAATTTTCAATATAGGCAAACAACTGAGGGCAGCTGAGAAGAAGCATATGAGGAGCCTATGTGTCTGCCCATCATATACCAAATGTTTCATGGGCCTTATTCAGCCACTCAATCCCTAGAGTATAACCTCACATTTGTCAATTATATCTCATTTATTAGGCTCATTGCCTACAGTGGTACATGGTGTATCATATATGTTCTACCAATGCTGAACTAATGCATTGAAAAAAAAATTAATCAAGAAGTATATCTTTCATTAGCCAAGGGATTTCAGTGGGAGTATATTCCCACTGAATACAGTAAACTCAGTTCCTTGTGAAGAATGTTTCAAGACCTCAACGTGGAAGCCTGAAACCTTAGTGTAGAACCCTGTATGTGTTATGTTTTATTCCTATACATGTATATCTATGATGAAGTTTACTTTATAAATTAGGCATAGTAGCCGGGCGCCGGTGGCTCACGCCTGTAATCCTAGCTACTCAGGAGGCTGAGATCTGAGATTCGCCGTTCAAAGCCAGCCCGTGCAGGAAAGACTGTGAGACTCCTATCTCCAATAAACCACTAGAAAACCGGAAGTGGCGCTATAGCTCAAGTGGTAGAGCGCTCACCTTGAGCTGAAGAGCTGAGGGACAGCGCCCAAGCCCAGAGTTCAAGGCCCATGACCGACAAAAAAAATAAAAAATAAAAAAATAAATAAATTAGGCATAGTAAGAGATTAACAGCAATAAATAATAACAATACACTGTAGTGAAAGGTATGTAAATGTATTCTACCTCTCTCAAAATAGTATGCTTTCACCAAAATCTATACTAAGCCAACATTGTGATATGGAGGTGAGGCAGGTAGAAATAATAGCTTTTGATTTTAATATCTAAAATGGTTTGATGAGTTATAGTATGCCAACTTTTCTTTGTCACACCTGAATTGCCAATAACGCTATTGTCATTTAGGATTATTGTTAAGTAAAATAAAGGCTATCTGAATCTATGTGCTAGGATCTTGAGACAGTTTGACAATGATGACAGCAACTTTACTGAGTGTCTAATATACAGGTACTAGTCCCTGGACAAGGGGATGATTTGAATCCTAGGCAAGACAAAGTTGAATGGTACAAGATTTCATACTGCTACTTAGTGGCAAACAATTTAAACTTTGTGAGTTGTTTATTTCTTGGATTTCCTACTTAATAGTCTAAAACCACAACTGACTGCAAATAACTGAATCAGAGGGAAGTGAAATCACTGTAAGGAAGACCTACTGTAGGGCAATTGGGATGGAATACATCATTTGAAATTTTTTTTTAATTTTTAAAAAATTTTTATTGCAAAGATACTGCACCGAGGGGTTACAGTTATGTGAGTAAGGTAATGAGTACATTTCTTATTGAGCATTGTTACACTCCTCTGTTTTTCCCCATAATTTTGTTTCTTATCCAAGTAAATTTATCTGTATAGCTGCCATTCTTGTGAGGTGTATAGTAGGAAAAAGGGCTTTGTATGCAGATGTTTTGTTTTTCTTATTTTATTTATTACTATTTTTTGTGTGTGTGTATGCTAGTACTGGGGCTTGAATTCAGGGCTGAGAATTGTATCTGAACTTAAGTATAGCACTCTACCATTTGACCTACAGCTCCACTTCCATGGTTTTGTTGATTCTTAAAATTTGATTTGAAATAGGTTGTTTAAAGTTCCTTTTTCTCTGAATTAATATGATTATTGAATGTTTGATGGCAAGTAAGGATCAATATAAATATAAATCTCTTGAAAACAGAACTACCAATGAAATAAAAAACCTTCAGTATCTACCTCGAACCAGTGAGCCTCGGGAGATGCTCTTTGAAGACAGGACAAGAGCACATGCAGATCATATAGGACAAGGTTTTGAACGACAGACTACAGCTGCTGTTGGTGTGCTGAAGGCTGTGCACTGTGGAGACTGGTATATATAACTACTACTATTCAATGAAAGGCTTTCTTGGCTTATAAAGTTTTTCTTAGTGATTAGTTAAACCAAGATTTTAAGTTGTTAAAATCAACTTTTAATTATTTGGATTGTGTGAAATAATTTTTTTAATCATCATTGACAAGCAGGAGGAAAATTGCAGTAAAGACAACTAAGTTTACTTGATTCTTGCCATATGCTCCTTTACAAATGTTGTCTTACTAAAGTTTCTTAACTACTTTTTTCTTACTAATTTTGGTAATATTTATTACAAAGGAACTGAACTCAAGGCTGTGAAATAATTAGGGTTTTAGATCTGACTAGACTTTTGTTTTTTACTGTTCTACTTTGCTGGTCCCTTTGTAGGTTTAGTATCTGGTTGCTGATCTGTATCTATCTGCCTATCTATCTGGGTATCTATCTATGTATCAATGTCTATCTATGGGGTTATATATGTGTACCCATAGATAGATAGATAGATAACATATATATATATATATATATTTATTTCTCTTATATAAGTTTTTAAAAGGGTTTCAATTCCAGAAGTCAGGTTATGAGTACAGTGTCACCCCTTCTGAACTATTTGTTTCTCCTTGGTTATCTTTCTTTTTCTCTGAATTATATAATTATTGAATGTTTGATGGCAAGTAAGGAGCAATATAAATATAAATCTCTTGAAAACAGAATTACCAATGAAATAAAAAACCTTTAGTATCTACCTTGAACCAGTGAGCCTCGGAAGATGCTCTTTGAAGACATGCTATAGGATCTCCTGCTTTCTTATGATTTGATTTTTTTTTGAGTTTGTGTTTTTTTATGTTTATTCATTCTTTTTTACTTTCAGCCTATTTGTAAGCTTATATTATTGTTCTGTGAAAATACCATAAATGATGATTAGTCTTTTTAAATGATTAGTCTTTTAGTTGGAGTAATTAGACCATTTATATTTAATAGGACAATTAATTTGGATCTATTGTCTTTTTACTCATTTTCATCTCCTGCTCTTCAGTCCTTTTTTTCCTACTTGACATTTTGAGAATTCTGTTGTATCTATGTTGTTTCCTTAATTGCTATAGCTTTGTTTTTGTTTTATTGCACTAAGCACTGTCTACCTTCAAATATATTTTTTAATGTTATGTGTAAGTATTCTTAATAGTATATTTTCATTTCTTTCCCCTTTTCCCTATTTCTGGTAAACTAAATGTTGTTATATATGTTACTTTAAATATTCTACAAACCAGAGAGTAAGGGAAGGAGTGACATTGTCCAAAAAAAAATGTACACTTTACCTGACTTAGGTAACTGTAACCCCCTGTATATCATCTTTATAATAACAATAAAAAATTAAAAAATATTCTGTAAACCCTATAGTTAAATACTTTAAGGAATTATTTTCTAAAGGAATTTTTAAAAATGAGAAAATATCTCTTATATTTACCATGATGAGTGCTTTAAAATCCTTTGCATAGATCTAAGTTTTCAACTAAATACCATTTTCCTTAGCCTAAAGACTTGTTTTAACATTCTTTGTTATACTGGTCTTGTGAAATATTTTTTTCGGGGCACTTGAACTATTTTATTTTTTCCTCTCATATCGGGTATTACTATGTAGCTCAGGCTGCCATTGGACACACTGTGTAATCCAAGCTGGACTTAAATTTGTGTTCCTTCTGCATCAGCTTCCTGAGTACTGAGGATACAATTGTATACTACCATGCATGGCTAAAAATGTTTTTACTTTGCATTTTGGAGAATAATTTTGCTAGATATAGAACTCTGAAGTGTTTTTTTTTTCTTTCAGTACTTTAAAGATAATCCATTCTCTTTCAGTTTGCATTGTCTTTGTTGAGAAATCTGCACTTCAGTCAGATTATTCTTTCTCTGTGTAACATAATTTCTAAACCTTATCATTAGTTATTAGAAATTTAATTATGATTTGCTTCATGTGCCCTTCACATATTTCCATTGCTTGGAATTTCACTTCAAAATTGATTTTTGAGCATCATCTGTAAAATTATATTTGTATATTCCTAATTAGAAGAATTTGGGATTTCTTTTATTTTTTTACAATTATATTTAAAAACAGTGAAAATGCCAGTGAACAGCTAATACTTTTCTAATGAACATCTTACATTTTTTAAGCATTATTATTATTATTTTTGTCAGTTGTGGAGCTTGAACTTAGGGCCTGGGTACTTTCCCTGAGCTCTTTATTGCTCAAGACTAGCTCTGCCACATTGAGCCACAGTGCCACTTCTGATTTTCTGGTAGTTAATTAGAGGTAAGAGTCTCATGAACTTTCCTGCCTAGGCTGGCTTTGAACTGTGATCCTAAGATCTCATTCTTTTGAGTAGCTGGATTATAGGTACAGGCATAAGCCACCGGTGCCCAGCTTATTAAGCATATTAAAACCAATTAATACACATTAATAAGTAATGTTAAAAATCTATTTTTATGCATAAAAATAAAAAATACTTTTGGTGTCAGGAAAGTATTCTCTTTTCACGTATAAACTTCTTGCTTTGAATTTATTTAGAATTAAATATTAATGGCACATCTTTTTATTATCTCATTTTTTAGGCCTGATCAACCCCGAATAACCAAAGATGTAATATGTTTTCATGCTGAAGATTTCTTAGAAGTAGTTCAACGAATGCAGTTAGATTTACATGAACCTCCACTGTCTCAGGTATATTTTAAATAATTATTAGTCATTATTATATTTATTGTAATTAATAAATATTAGTTTAGGTTTTATTATGGAAAAAGACTTATATTACTTTTTTTTTTTTTTTTTAGTGTGTCCAGTGGGTTGATGATGCAAAACTTAATCAACTGAGGAGGGAAGGCATTCGCTATGCCAGGATTCAGCTGTATGATAATGATATTTATTTTATTCCAAGGAATGTTGTTCATCAGTTCAAGACTGTTTCAGCTGTATGCAGTTTAGCTTGGCATGTTCGACTCAAATTATATCATTCTGAGGAGGATACGTCTCAGAATGCAGTTACTCATGAAACAGGCATATCACCAGATCCCACATCATCAGTTCTTGGAACTCACACTGACAACATGATTTGTGCTGTAAGCAAAACCTCGTTGGATTCTGTTCTTTCAGACAAAGTTCATTCTAAATATGATTTACAACATCTTAGACATGAACCAGTTGCATCTGTGAGAATCAAGGAAGAAGCGGTGAATGTAACTATTTCTGAAAAGACTAGAGCATTGAATAATATGGATGGCAAGAATGTTAAGGCAAAATTGGATCATGTTCAATTTACAGAATTTAAGATCAACGTGGATTCTAAATTTGAAAATAGTAAAGAATTAAAGGAAGAATTGTGCCCTAGAAGTCTTACAAGTCTAGCTGACACAAGGCAACACAGCTCTATACACTCAAATCAAGATAGAAAAGATGACATTTTGTACTAAATTTTGTATATAATATTAATTTTTTAAATACTGTAATAAAGATTCATGAAATCTGAAAGCAAGCTCAGGACTTGCTCTCAAGTCTGTTACAAAATATAGTTTATGTAGCTTTGTAACATTCCTCAGTGCCTGTCCCTAACTGTGAAGTATCAAGCACTTAAGGCCAGATGCACTGTAACATTGCAGGCTTAAACATAAAGGAGTCTTTAAAAAAATCATTTGAGTTGGAATTATAGGTTTTAGAATAGAAATGACATTTACACACACACACACACACACACACACACATTTTGTAATATGAGCCAGAATTCTTTTTTGACAATTTAAAGGTTTGCCATAGAGCTTATTTATATCAGTTTTTGTTTTTCATTTAAAATATGTCAGCACTGTAGTGTAAATAGCTTTTTAAAAATCTTTTTAGTGTAATTTATACTGAAATGTGAGCCCCTTAATAAAGGTTCATAATAATATGTATTTTGTTGGGTCTGCAAAGACAAAATTCAGCTAAATCATGTTTGATATGCTTCTCTTTGCTGGTGTATATATACATAGATATATATGTATGTGTATGTATATATATACATATATGTATATGTATATATATGTATGTGTGTGTATATATACATATATACATATATATGTATGTGTGTATATATATATGTATATAAAGAGAGAGCATGGTAATGGAGTGTAAATGTATGTATTCAAATCTAGTAAATATTTAAATTTCCCACACTGTGCAAGTATTTTAAAAAAACAAGATTCATTTATGAAAGAATATATGTGTGTTTATGTATGAGAATGTATATATGTATATTATATTTTGCACAATTTCTTAAGTTACTGAATAAGATGAAACTTATGTGAAACTTCTTAGCCTTGTTTCCTGGAACACATTTAAAAATATTTATATTCAACATTAAGAAAGCAGCTTAGGTAATAGAAATAGTTTTAGAAAGTTGAGGAGAAACAGGTATGCTAATGATACCTAATTGTTCTAACCAATGAAGTGATGTGGCCAGATTATTTAGCCCTAATATACCTTTTCTTTATTGTGTATGGAATAAAAAGTTAAGACAATTTTCTAAAAAGCACTGTGCTTAGTAGTAGTGAGTAAAAAAGTCTTTACAGAAAGTTTAATGTGATCAAGTAAAAATCTTCTTTTAACATTTTTCTTTCAGGAGAAAATATGACAATAACAAAATTGTAAAATAAGGGCAATGACTCAACTGCCATATTCAGAGATAACAAAAACTGTTACTGTCTCTTTCTCAGGATCCCCTCCCTGCCCTAGCAAGGCAAACCACTTGGTAAACTTCCTTTTCTAAAGAAGTTCTAGAAAGTAAATTGTGGTAGGAAACAGGATAATCAGTGCCTAACTAAACACGTGTAAAATCTGTTCAGTATGTGCTTCATCATGATTTCAGATTGTTTCTACTTCTGTAATGCAAAGCCGAACAGTCTTTGGTATATTCATGGATGTAAGGAATCCTACTCATTGTAGATCTAATTTGTTTGTCCTTGTATTATTTAGTTGCCTCTCAGTTGGTGTTTTTTGTACTGCTTTTGTGGAGGCTGTTAATTTAATTTCAGTGGTTTCTGGCCTGTCCTCATTTGTGCTCCCAATCAAAATATTTTTAGTTAGATGTCATTTTATAAAAAATTTCAGCAGAAAAATAAAACTCAACTGCAACAATGGTATCAGTTCTGGCTCAGAGATAGGCAAATAACATAGGAAATCTGACAGCCTATAGGAAATCAGTGTGCAACGGGGGAAGTTTCATGCAGGTAGGAAAGGTATAAATCATGATAATGTAAATAGGATATGTTTTATATATCATCATCCTTTTTCTGACCTATTTAATCTTCTGTTTTAAACTAAAATTTCAGGATTTGCACCTACCTTCTTAGGAGACACAAGTTCCTAACAAGCTAGTATTCAACAGCAGAAAAAGATGTCATTACTTTTTTTTTTATGAAAGTGATATATGAGCAAAGTGTTTTTCCAGTTTTCCAGTAGCATTTTCATAGATACATTGAGGTCAACTGTAAGAAAATATCTTTAAGGTATCCTTGCAAATTTGTGAGCCTTAACTTTTTAACTTAAAGCAAGGCATGTCTAAAACAATAATAGTTGTTGCTTTCGGGTATAGTTTGTTAAGTTCCTCACAACTTGAACTTTTTTTCTTCGGTTGTGGGGCCTGAACTCTGGGCTTGGGCACTGTCCCTCAGCTCTTCAGCTCAAGGCTAGTGCTCTACCAAGCCACAGCACCACTTCCGGATTTTTCTGCTTATGTGGTGCTGAGGAATCGAACCCAGGGCCTCATGCATGCGAGGCATGCACTCTACCACTGAGCCACCTTCCCAGCCCCATAATTTGATCATTTAACTGCTTTGTAAAATGCATACTTCTTTGTGGAATTGAAGTATACGTACACAGGCCCAAAATTTCAAGAGAAAGCCTTGTTAACGCTTTGAATAATACCATGTTTCTTCTTTTACGGGTTTTACTTTCAAAGTCCTCTTCAGATGCTGAGAACTTGACTACCTTTGTTACACACAAAAAATTTGTATTTTCATATTGCATTATATTAGTGTTTTCCAGTTAGTACATTCCAGTTCTGAATATGTTTCGCTTTTATTTTCAATAACTTGGACCAGAACAATAAAGCACGTATGATATCATTTCAATGTGGTTATATGCTCTATAAAGTAATTAGGTAAATTATTAAATGGATATACAGACATTGACATAAAAGCCTCAGTGCTGTCTGCTATAGTGCTTTTTTTTGTTTTTCCCAATTTTGTTTATATCTTTTTAATATATTCCATACTCAGGTTAGCTTCTTACTAGAAAAAGAATTAAACATTTTTGATATTTAGTTGCAAATTTACTAAAGCCATATATTCACTATCTTTCTTGCCTCAAGACTGTTGACCTTAAATAAAGATTAGGTTGATCTAGCACAACACTTTGTGTATATGTGTGTGTTTGTGTGTGTGTGTGTGTGTGTGTGCAAATTTGTTGGAAATGTTTGTTTCTGTAAATGGAGTATGTCCTTGAGGGTAAGAAAGATTTCTCAGTTTAAGTCCTTAAAGTATTTAGTGTTCCTGAGAGTAAAACAATTTCTCCAGAATACTTATGGCAGGTAAGATTTTGTAAATAATGAACTAGCATTGTTTTGGTAATCTGTCTCCAGTTTTTTTCCTTGGATAGTTTTGTTGTTATGTAAAGTAATTATCTCACAATTCATTTTGCATTTAGCAAAGGTACAAGATTTGTTTTTGTAGTTTGAAAGGTATTTTCCTGGTCTTCCACCTTTTAATAAATACTAAGATTGTTAACCACAGTCCTTTTTTACCTTTGTTTCTTAATTATTTTCTTGAATTTGACATCTTAATTTCAGAATCTTTAAAAGGTCTTTTCTTTTTTTAAAAAGCCAGTAAAATAGTGAAAGTGATTACAATTTGAGAAGGTCTTTCCTCTTAACCACTAATACTAAATAATGGACTTACACTAACAGAAGAGGAAAATATTGTGGGTTACCTTATTAAGGTCTTTAGATAGGTATGGGTAATAGGAATAACATGGCAATTACCTTGCTGTTAAACCTAGATATAACTGTATGCTTTAGGCTGTTGAAAAGTGACATGAATTTAAGACCTTCAGAGAATAGATCAATTTCTCCCACTTGCTTATTATATAAAAGGAAAATATTACTTGTTTTAGAATTAATTGTCTATTTCATGAGCTATGTTTGGTATATTTGGTACTCATAAGACACTTCAGGTAGTTAAGATGAAAATTCAGAGAGCTGTAAGTTTTGTTTTGGTCTTCTAGTTTTGTCTTTTCTTGTAAGAGAGTAAGTTACAAGACTAATATACTATCTCTTCTTGGGGAGCAGGCAAGGAATGGAGAAGAAAACACTCTTATTTCAATTTATCTTCCCTTCCAGTCTGGACTTCAGACTCAGAATTTATGAATGAGCTGGAGGAAAAAAATGTTAACCTGAAATTAAAAGTGAAATGTACTTTTTTGGTCGGTCCTGGAGCTTGAACTCAGGGCCTAGGTGCTGTAAATGAACTTCATTTTGCTCAGGGCTAGCCTCTACCACTTGAGCCATAGCTCCAGTGTCAGCTTTTTCTGAGTTATTGGGGATAAGAGTCCATAGTCTTTCCTGCCTGAGCTGGCTTTGAACTGCCACCCTCAGATCTCAGGCTTCATATACCACCAGTGTTGGTGTGGACAGTACTTCTTGTATGTTTTTTTTCTCTTTGTGGGGTAGGGGCTACTGTGATCTGCCTACCAACAATTGCATTGGCAGAATGAGACTGCTGTATTGTTTTATAATTTTGAAACTTAAAATTTATGCATTTATGATTTTAAAATACTATGCTTCCCCGGGGGGAGGCTGGGAAGGGATGTGAAGGGTAAACAAAGGAGGAGGCTGCAATGCTTGGTAAGAAATGTACGCATTATCCTGCCCATGTAACTGTAACTCCTCTGTACAATATGTTCACAAATAAAATTAAATTAAATTAAAAAAAAATACTATGCTTCCCCATAAGGCTCACTGATGTTGCACTACTTAAAGAATATTAAGAAACAAACTCAGCTGGGCAGTAGTGGTTCGTGTCCATAATCCTAGTTACTCAAGGCTAAGATCTGAAGATCATAATTCAAAGCCAGCCTGGGCAGAAAGGTCCATAAGGCTTTTTCTTTTGGTTGGTGGTGGGGCCTGAACCTGAGCCTGGGCGCTGTCCCTCAGCTCTTCAGCTCAAGGCTTAGCACTCTACCTCTTGAGCCACAGCACCACTTCCGGCTTTTTCTGCTTATATGGTGCTGAGGAATGGAACCCAGGGCCTCATGCATGCAAGGCAAGCACTCTACCATTGAGTCACCTTCCCAGCTCCATGAGACTCATCTCCAGTTAACCTCAAAAAGCTGTTAGTGGAACTGTGGCTCAAGTGGGTAGACCACTAGCCTAAGCACAAAAGCACAGGGACAGCATCCAGGCCAAGAGTTCAAGCATCAGGGCCAGCCAAAAGAAAAACAACAAAACTCAGAAACAGTATGATCACAAGAAGTTTGTGTAAAAGTAAAATTTATTTGGCCAGTTTGATTCCTGCTCTGCACAAAATTTGTTTCTTCAATTTTAACTGAGCCTTGCTGTTATGTAAAATCACTTGTTTTTCATCTTTAAAATAATTGGCCCTGCTGCCTGGGCCAATATTCCTAGTTACTCAGGAGGTTGAGATCTGAGGATTTGCCTTTTTTGTTGTTGTTGGTCATGGGGCTTGAATTCAGGGCTTAGGTGCTGTCCCTGAGCTTTTTTGCTCAAGGCTAGTGCTCTACCACTTTGAGCCACAGCACCCCTTCTGTTTTTCTGGTGGTTAACTATAGATAAGAGTCTCAAGAACATTCCTGCCTGTGCTGGCTTTTGATTCTCAGGTCTCAGCCATCTGAGTAACTAGTATTACAGGTGAATTATAGGCGCCTGGCTCTAGTAGCTGAAGTATATTAAAACAATATAAAGTAGACGATTAAAATGACAATATACTCTTAAGTGCCATTACAGTACCTCATAGCTTAAGGCAGAATTTTTTTCTGTCTTATGTAAGAGTTTGGTTATAAAAGTCATTCTGTTTATACATTTTATGTGGTTCTCCTTACTAATATTAGAAACATTAAATAAAATCAATATACTTGTATATCCTTGAGCAATGCGCATAGTCTATTTCTCAACAGTAAATGGGAGGGTAGTACTTACTGTGTTAGTTGGTGGTGAAAATTAAATGACAGAACATGCTGAATGTTCCTTAGCACACTGCTTGGCTTATAGACATTAAATGTTAGCTTCTGCTTCTCGAATTGCAAAGTGAAATAGAAGAGCTATGTGGACTGGGTGACACTAATCAATTCACACTTTGATCATTCTTTGTCTCTTTCACAGATTCCTCTCTAATTCTGAACAGAAGATAGGCATATGGGAAGAAAAAGGTTCATGAGGGCCAGGCACAGACCTGTAATCCCAGCTACTTCAGGAGGTAGATATTAGGAGGAACATAATTTAGGACCAGCTTGAACAAAAGTAAATGAACTCCATTTCAAAAAGGTGGGAATGATGGAGTATGCCCGTAATCTTACCTACACAGGATGCCTAAATAGAAGGCCTTCAAAGTAGACCAGCCCAGGCAAAAGTGTGAGACCCTATTAAAAAAATGAGTGAAAAGCTGGAGACATGGTGTAAGTGATAGACTGCCTGCTTGACAGGTATAAAGCCTTAATTTAAATGCTAGTACCACCAATAAAAACGTTTCATGACATGGTCAAGACAAGGTATTGTGGATGCAGGTGGACACTTACAAAAAATACTATTTCACTGTTTTGCTCAGGGTTAATAAAATCACATCCCATTCTGCCTATTCTTTTCTTTTTTTTTTTTTTTTGGTCCGGTCGTGGGCCTGAACTCTGGGCCTGGGCCCTGTCCCTCAGCAATTCAGCTCAAGGCTAGCACTCTACCACTTGAGCCACAGCGCCACTTCTGGTTTTTTTCTTTTTTTGCTTATGTGGTGCTGAGGAATCAAACCCAGGGCCTCATGCATGCAAGGCAAGCGCTTTACCACTGAGCCACCTTCCCAGTCCCCATTCTGCGTATTCTTGATAAAAATGAATTACAAATTTGTGGGTGCAGTCATAGTGAACTCTCATGGTATAATGCAGAGAGACTGACTTAAAGTATAAAGTGTTCTCTAAGAAAAACTATTAACCTTTTGTTCTTGCATTTGATATGTCAGTACTCTTTTTGTCAGCACTTTTTATTTTCACCCTCCCCTTTTACAAGGAGACCTATTTTGTAGATAGTATTTGCAGTTAAACTCTTGTTTATCCTAGACTTTGGGGTAATTTCATTGGATGTACCTGGACTTTAGTTTTTTTTTCTTTTTTCTTTTTTTGTCAGTCATGGGGCTTGAACTCTGGGCTTGTGCGCTGCCCCTGCACTCTTCAGCTCAAGGTGAGCACTCTACCGCTTGAGCCACAGTGCCACTTCCAGCTTTTTCTGTTTATGTGGTACTGAGGAATTGAACCCAGGCTTCATGCATGCTAGGCAAGCACTCTACCACTAAGCCACATTCCAGCCCAGTTTCTTCATAATTACAGTATTTTCTCTCCATATTTAAATCATTGCATATTTCCTGTAATAAAGACACCAAAAATATTTTGCACTTGCTCTGCAAACATGACCTGCATTAAAGGAAACTCTTTTGCAGTTTGTGGTTGTTTCTTGATAAAAAGCTAAAATGTCTGATATTTTCAACAAAAAGGTGCTTTTATGACTCAGGTGCTTAGTGTATGAATGTATCCTGTGGTTTCCTTTCACTATTACTTCTGTTTACCAGTCAACATCAGTTTACTTAATTTGCTAGCTTTCTGACCTAGATTGAGAATGAACCCTGCCTATAGGCCACTTGTTGTCTGTCCGCAGGCCACATATTACCCACCAACAGCTTTTGTATACTCCATGAAGCATACAAATAATGTCCTGTACCCAGAAAATGTTTGCTTATTCCTATGGTAGTACCATGTGCAGTCCTTTCTTTTCACTGGAGAGCTTATAGTAAGGTAATAAATGCATGAATGGTGTGTGTGTGTGTGTGTGTGTGTGTGTGTGTGTGTGTGTGTGTGTGTGTGTGTGTGTGTGTGTGTGTGTGTGTGTGTGTGTGTGTGTGTGTGTGTGTGTGTGTGTGTGTGTGCGCGCGCGTGCGCGCGCAGGTCCTGGGTCTTCAACTCAGGGCCTGGGTGCTGTCCCTGAGCTTTTTTGCTCAAGGCTAGTACTGTACCAGTTGAGCCACAGCAACTCTTACAGCTTTTTTGCTCTTTAACTAGAGATGAGATTTTCATAGACTTTGCTGCGGGCTTTGAACTCTGATCCTCAGATCTCAGCCTCCTGAGTAGTTAGGATTATAGGCATGAGCCACTAGTGCCCAGCTGCATGAATACTTTTACCTGAACTAAAAAAAAAATAACTTGAATTAGTGAGACTTGACCAGTTTGGCTCTCTCAATTGAATTAAGTATATTTGGCCAATCCTGGAATATTTAGTTCCATGTATTAACTACCCTTCTCAATCTTATACTTATTCAATACCGCATCACAAATTCTAAGGTATTTATAATTGATTTTTATTTAGATTTGGCTTATTTTGTGTAGTTTCAAAAGCTTAATTAGAATTTAGGATCTCTTATTTAATTTTTGGTAGTATGCCTTAAACTTAATGTTACCTGTCTTTAGAAGGAAGAACTACTGCAAAATGATGTATTAATCTGCTTTAGTAGCCAAAAATTATGATCTGTGTTCTGTGTCTTGGAGAGAGAATATCTTGCTTTGTAGCCCACACTGGCTTTGAACTCCTTAGCCTCTTGTTTTTACCTCCTGAGTGCTGTGATTTTAAGTGTGTACAACCACACCCAGCATGTGTTAAGTGTATAAGATCTTTTTTAAGAACAAAATTCTACTATAGATTTCTCACAGAGCTCTAAGTGTGGGCTAATAGGGAAAGAAGAGTCATACTACTTTTAAGTACTTCCATCTCAGCCTCATTTGAAGTACTTAAATACCTTGTCAAGGTGATTATATAATTTCTCAAGCCAAGATATTTTCAAGAGTGAATGGAGCACTAACTCCATGAGACCTCAGGACATTAAAATGGTTCCTGATGGAACTCCGAACTGGAACTTACTGGAGGATCCCTCTAACTTTAGAAACAGACAAGCTTAGGCTCTGATATGGAGGCGGAGGCAAAAGTGAATTTAATATAGGTGAAAATTTGCCGAATCTTCAGGCTCATTGTGAATGTGAACAAGAAGTTGTATGCCTAATTACTTTAGTAACTTAAATTTTCTTCCTAATTTAGAAACATAGGCGTTTACTTTGATTATACAAGAGCCATGATATATAAAACTTCTATCCAAGTATATAGATTTAAGGCTTTGTATTTTTAAATAATAACAGATAGAGTCAAAAATGAAGTCAAAAACAAACTTTATTTACATAGGGGTAATAAGTACATCAATTACTCATATATTGAATAATTCAGCTTTGGGTTGACTAGGAGTCCATGACACATGAATCCTGTTTTATGAAAGTAGGAAACTACATTTGGTATTTTCCCTCAGTTCTCTTGTTCTCTCCAGGCTTGCAAAGATTCAGAACACTGTAATTACAGCTTTTGAACAGCAACCAAAATGAGATGATGTACTTCAGAAGTCAGTCTCTCACAAAAAAGACATTATATCCAAGTTCTGTTAAAGCCCCAGCCAGTAAGGCCCACAAAGGAATGAAGACATAGGACACATTCATGGTAGTAAATTGTTCTAGTTTAGCACAGAGTGCCAGGCAGAAAGCTAACTTAAGTAACATTGCAATGAGGTACCACGCTTTTTTTTTAATATTGTGTGATCCATGACGGGGGTCAAAACCAGACTTACATCGCCCAGCCATTTTCACAATCAGCATGACAAGAAGGATAGTATCAAATATCCAGACTGGAATAAATATGAGGAACCAGTTCCAAGGTGCCTTCTCATCCAGTTTCAACACCAACATGATCAAGAAGAGTAATGTGAAAAGCCAGGTGAGTAGTACTCTCTGAGCCAAGGACATTCTCATTTAAACAGTTTAAAGAGGCTGCTTCAGGGTCGAAAAACTGAAAAAATATCCTAAAAGAAGGAAAAAAGATTGTTTTGATACTTTCATTCCTAGTGAACAAAGTTATCTGTTTCCTACTCACAGACTTCCTAAATTTTAAAACATACTACCATTCTTCCTAAAGGTTTTAGCAGTCATTTACAGCATGTCCATCATTGCTTACAACCCATGACTAAAGTACAAAGTAAATAAAATTTCTAATATATTCACTGAGCATGAGTTCTATTGAAAATGTCCCCAGAACAGGATGCCACTTAATTCTAGGAAACTGGAATAAACTGCACTTTAGGGATTTTCTTAACCTCCTGATAAACTTGAAAAGCTAGAGTTTTTCATTCATTGTTAGCGTGCTAAAATAAAGCATTTGAAATCAGAGTAGTGAAATGGAGGTGGTATTATGCCAAGAAGGGGAACTTTTTAAGGGAGGAATGGTAAAGTAAAAATTGTCAGATCAAGGGTTGCAAAGAGGTAATTTGGAAAAAGGTAATGATAATTCTGAGTTTTATATAACCTTTGAATCTTTTTAAATTCTTGGGTTATTTTCTTGCCGAGGTAGACAATTTAAAAACTTTAGATATCCCAGCTTGGCACTAGTGGCTCATGCCTATGTCTGAGACCTGAAGGATCATGGCTGGAGATTAGTCCAGGAAAAAAAAATCCAAGAGACTCCACCTCCAAAATAACCAATAAAAAAGCACAGGCTGGAGATCTGAGATTGCAGTTACAAGTTGGAAAGTCCATGAGATGCTTATCTCCAACTGACCACCAAAAAAGCCAGGAATGGAGCTGTGGCTGAAGAGGTAAGAGAACTGGCCTTGAGCATAAAAGTTTAGGGACATCATCCAGGCCCTGAATTCAAGCCCTAAAACTAACATAAAAAACAAAAACAAACAACAACAAAAAACAGGTTGGTAACATGGGTCAAGTGATGAGTGACAGTAGCGCAAACAAGCCAAGCCAAACAACAAAAAACCCCAAACGAACAAAACTAGCAAAAATACCCCCCCCCCAAAAAAAACACAAAACTTCAAGTATCTTACAATTAATTGATGTTAAATTATTGTATAATTGCAAGTTTTTTTTTTATCCTGCACAAAAACTGGTTTACTATTGCTCCAGGATGTTTCCTACTACATGAAGGGCTTGTTTTCTTTGCTGGACTACTTTATATTTCTCTTTCATTTCTTCAGTGGTAAAATTCTTTTAATTCTAAAAAACCTGAATATTGGCTGGGAATTCATTTACTAATAACTTAGCTTAAATACAAGCATTTATCACACTCAGTCTTCACATATAGGCTTACAGTATGTTTCTCCACTATTTTGTTTTTAATATCAGCTTTATTACCATATGGAATAAGGGTAAATAGAATTGAAAATGAGAAGCCAGACTGCATTCAGTTGATTAAGAAGTTAAGAGAACATAAGGATATGGAAATGGCTCATGAGATTAAGAAGGGGACAAAGAGAAATTCCTAAGAAGGGGGATCTAAATATTAAAAAAGCTGGAGGAACTAAACCATTAAGATATTAAAGGCTGCAGGTGAGAAAGCAGACTTGATGGGTGGGAAAAGAACAGAAGGGGGGACATATGCAATACAAAAACACAGGTAATAAAGCAGCTGTAAAGACGAAGGGCGGAAAAAAGGAAAAGTTGAAGAAACTGGCTAGATGAAATAAATGCTTTAGTGTGCTTATATTTGAGAACTACTGTGATAGGTTTTGTAACATCTGTGCTTAGCAGGGTGATGATCATAGTATTCTTGTACACACATTGCTGTATTTCAAGTGGTATCAGTGTTCTAATTCATCTTTCCCCACTCATATCCATGTACCTGCTCTTTAACTTGTGAACTCTTCGTACTGCAGTTTTGGCTCCCAGGAAGGCATTTTCCAATAAATGTCACCTTTCCTTGCCAGAGTCTGCCAGATAGTGGTGAGACTGACTTTGGAAGGAGAGGTGGAGAGCTGTGGGTTTAATTCTGTAAATTTAGTTTGTTCAGGAATAGGTTTACGAAGATACACTTGTTTAAACCTAACTTTGTCACCTGCCATTGGAGACAGCTTCATTTTCTTTTTCTCGCAAGAATAACAACTGCTATTGGAGGGGTAACTGCATTCACCACAGGTGAATAGAGGACTGGAGCTAATAGATGAAATAAAGGACATAATCTTACTTCTGCAGAAGTAAGCTTACAAGCTTTATAATGTGAGATACAACAAAGTTCACGTTACAGGCAAACAATGGAAGAGGCACCAAGCTCGTATTTAAATGATGCTTGAGAGATTGTGTGTTATGAGCGATAACTAAGCAAATCTATTTACTTGGGACTGCTCCCTTTCCCACACTAAAATGTGCTCATCAAATTCGCCCCTCTTAGACTGCTATTTCAGTTATCTAGAAGATAGTTCTGGTCCTACGATTCTTTATCTATTGTCCCCACGTGTCAATCTGACCCCATCACCTGCGTGCATCCTTGTGTCAGATGTTGCTTCCGAAAAGTCAGTGCTGCAAAAGCCTTGGCCATCCTTCCAAGGAACAGCTCACAAAGTAGCTGGCTTGGGGGCCTATGTGTATCCGCAACTTCAGGACGTTCCGAACAACTCAGGTCTGCAAAGGCCCAAGGTCGGCTCGAGGCGCCCAACGTGGCCTTCTTCTTCCCCACCCTCCAATCTGGCCAGTGGGCCGAGGCTCTTCCGCAGTTAGACGCGGTTGGAGCCAAGCCGCGGAGTGTGCGTTTGGGGCTCGCAGGGTGATGGAGTGAGGGTCGGCCTCACAGCTCACCCAGACAACGCAGGGCCGAGTTCTCCACTCACCTAGCAGCACGGCTTGCCGGAAAGCAACGAGGGCCGTGGAGGTCAGGAAATTCGCCAGTTTGTATCTTTATCCTCTTCCACGCTTTTCCCCCCATTAAATCCAGACTCCGTCACATGATAAATTAAGAAAAAAGACTCAGTTCCGCCTCCTCAACCAGCAACAGTAGCGGTCCTCTCAGTTCTAGCTCTGGGCCGCGCCCACATCCGGGGCTGGTTCCCACCGCTCCTAGGCCTATTCTAATTGGCAGCTTGAACGCCAGTCTGGGTTCAGAGGCCCTCCTTGAACGCGGTCATTGGACTGTTTAGCTGCTAGTGTAAACTAACCGACCTTTCCTGACTTTGGAGTTGGACAAAAAGGCGGCATGGGAAGAGCAACAGTGGACCCGCCTCTTATTCCTACGGGTTAGAAGAAAAGTCAATCGTAGCGTAGCCTGGAGTTTCTGTAGTCCCATTGGACCCACAAGTGCCAATCAGATCATTCAGCGCTAGGCTCCGCCTCCGCAGGAGGCCCGGCTCCTCCTCGGGCCTGCCCCGCCTACAGACTCCAGCGCAAAATCCTGCGGAGAGGGGGCGGGGCGAAGCTGTGGGGCCGCGCGACGTTCGGAGCCGCGCGCCCGCCCGCCCGCCCGCCCGCCTGCCCGCCGGCATCCTAGCTGTGAGCTCTGAGGCTGCGTCCGTGGCTGGGCTCTCGCCTCGCTGTCTCCCGCGCGCTATCCAAGCCGCCTCCTAGCGGCGCGGCGCCCGCTCCAACGGTAAGCGCCGCCGGGTCTCCACGCTTGGGCGGGCTGTGTGGCGGTCCTCAGCGTCTGACAGAGTCCGGAGGATGGATCTGGTCTGGGGGCGCCCGGGCCAGCGCGTCGCCCTCCGGCGCGGTGGGCTTCCACGGCTGCCCTCGGCACCTGCGGGCCCGGGCTCACCTGCGGCCCCCATCCATCCTGTGGTTTCGGGGGATGGTGGGAGGGCCGGGAGCGAGGTTCGGCTCGCCGCGGAGCCCGCGCGGTCCTCCGGGCTGGACGTGAGGAGCCGAAGCCCCGCGCCGCCGCCGCCGCCGCCCGCACGGTGCCTCGCGCCCGCCCCTCGGCTCCCTCTCCAGTTCCACCCCCGCCCTCCGCGTCCTCCCCGCGGTGCGAGGCCGGCGCTGGGGGTCGGCTGTCCCGGGAGGGCGTGCTGGGGGCCGAGGGCGGGGGAGGTCCGCCCGCGGCGGGAGCTGTGGGCTCGGGGGCGGGGTCGGCGGGCGCGGGGCTGGGGGCTGCGGGCCGGAGCGTCGGGTCGGGTCGGGTCTCTCCCCTCCCTCCGCCGCTGAGCCCAGCCCGGCAGCGGACGGTCCCCTTCGCCCAGGCCGCCGGCACGCCGCGGAGGCGTGGGTGCCGGGATTCTGTGCGTCGGCCTGCACAGCTTTGCCTTTTTCTTTTTACGTCTGGAAACAATGCCGGCGCGCTTCACCTTCGCTGATTTTGACTGCCGTGTGTTGACAGCCGGCGTCCCGGCATTGTTCCTCCGAGTCGCGGCTCTCCAACTCCGCACCTCCCGGTAGAACTTCAGCGAAACCGTGCTGCTCGTACCCGTTTTATTTTTAGCTTGGCAAGAACCAGGCGACGGCTCTGTGTGAACCTGTGCTACCCGGGGAGGTGGGAGGTGGGACGGCCGGGCTCGTCTCAGGGTGCACGTCGCATGCCAGCTGATCCTGAAGTGCTTGGGAAAGTGTGTTAGGGGTGTCATTTTCGTGGTTAAGGTTGCTTAGTTCGAGGTTATTTTTATGATTTTGCAGGTTTTGTTTAAATAGTTTCTTTCACCACATATTCCTGAACGTTTCTTTCCCTTCCCCCCTCCCCCTCCTTGTGAGTCTACTTTGAGTATTTGATCTTGTTAAGTATTTTTGTAAAATCTGTCTTTTGTTGTTTAAGAAATGGCACCTTTTAAACAACCTTTGTAATATTGGAACGGGAATCTTAAGAATGGGGACTATGCACTTTTAGCCTAAAGAGCCTTAAAATAGCATAACTTGACTTGGATTTGGAGTAAAGGCTGCGAAGAACAAGGGAATGGGTATGCCTTGTCACTTGTAGTGGCTCCAGCCTCCAGATTCCAGAGGAAAGGAATCTGAAGGTCAGGGAAGAATGAGCTATCTGGGACCAGAAGCAAGGTGGTTCCAGGACCCCCTCCGCCCTCTGGAACTAGCCTACCTCCCACACAGGGTTAGTTGTCTGCATGCATCAGATAATATTAATTTAGGTATTAAGTGGGGAGTGGCTGGTTTCTAATTTTCACTACTTTCTGGCTGAGCATGAAAAAGTGCTAAGCAAATCAAAGTGTAGTAGACAGTGGGGATACTCTTGCATAGTCAAGAGCCTCCCAAAGCAAACTTTTTTTTTTTGGGGGGGGTGTTGGTCTTGGGACTTGAACTCAGGTCCTGAGCGCTATTCCTGAGTTTTTTTTTTTTTTTGCTCATTGCTAGCCCTCTTACCACTTCGAGCCATTTCCGGTATTCTGTTGGTTAATTGGAGATAAGAGCCTCATGGCCAGGCTGGCTTTGAACTGTAATCTTCAGATCTCAGCCTCCTTAGTAGCTAGGATTTCCGGCGTGAGCCACCCCACAGGTGCCTGGCCCAAAGCAGACTTTTTAAAATCCAAACTGGCACTGGCTAGTTGGTCTTAATAAATAGTTTTTAAACCATAAAACGTTTTAGCTAGTCCATTTAATGCACAATTTGAAGGAGTTTGTACAGCTTTATTTGATTCAAAGAGTTTATGGTGGTGTGTTGAAACATGACAATGAAAAATTAGTTGGACTATTATTGTTATAATCCTATGAAGTGAGTATAGTAGTTACTTCCATATTTTGTAGTTTACTTAGTCAATGTATATTTAACTCATTGGTCAAGATTCACTTCTAAATGTCATCCAAAGACTTCATTTAAAATACTTACTTTAGGGGCTGGGAAGGTGGCTCAGTGGCAGAGTGCTTGCCTTGCATGCATGAGGCCCTGGGTTCGATTCCTCAGCACCACATAAGCAAAAAGAAAAAAAGCCGGAAGTGGTGCTGTGGCTCAAGTGGTAGAGCCCTAGCCTTGAGCTGAAGAGCTGAGGGACAGGGCAGTGCCCAGGCCCAGAGTTCAGGCCCCACGACCAGACTCAAAAAAAAAAAAAAAATGCAAAAAAAAAAAGAGCGCTTGCCTTGCAAAAATCCTTATTTTACCACTATTGTATAATTGGTTTCTAAGAGACTTGGTAAAAGAAGACTTAATCAGTAGGAAACTATGTAGAAATAATCAGTAGAAAATTCTGATTCTCAACTTAGTAACACTTTGAGATGTTGAACATTACTCACAGCTATCTTCCCACCTTGAGGTACGTCCATTTGGTGGGAGAGATCGATATTTAACAAATATCGTTAGTGGGCACAGTTGGCATAATTGTCTTTAGGATGAAGTGAGCTCTTCTGGGAGAGTGTTGGTAGTGGCAGAGAGCAGGGAAACAGGAATGGCATGAGAAACACCATGGCAAAACTGCACACTTCTGACACACAGACACAGGTGAATGGGTTAAGACCCTTTACATTTCCATATGGGGGCAAATGAAGATTTCAACAATGTAAGGAATCATATCAACAAAGCTATCTTCCAGGTACCAGAAATGTGGAAGTATTTGAGCAAGTTTAAGAGGGAGTGGTTTGGAGGTCCAGGGAGGAGCTGTCATTATGGAGGCTTAAAGACAGTTTTCAGGGCTGGGAAGCTGGCTCAGTGGTAGAGTGCTTGCCTCGCATGCATGAGGGCCTGGGCTCAATTCCTCAGCACCACATAAGCAGAAAAAGCCGGAAATGATTCTGTGGCTCAAGTGGTAGGGGGACAGTGCCCAGGCCCAGAGTTCAACCCCACGACCAACCAAAAAAAAAAAAAGTTTTCATAAATAGAGGACAAAGGTATTCCCACACAGAATAGGAGAAAGAAGGCAGTTTTAGAAAGAACATAAATTATTTAAAGATTGGGAACTAATTGTAGCTTTATGTAAAAAGCATTGTGAAGACCAAGTTGAATGATTTATAATTGTAGCAGGGCAAAATAAGTTCTAACCAGTTTTGATGGTTGGAAATTACATAATTAAATACTAAACTTACAGAAACAGTTTGCCCGTTGTTTTAGTATTTACCTTTTAATCCTTATTTTTTCCAAGTGCCAATGTAGTCTCTTTCTGAATATGTCTAGATAAGCAACTGTTTCATTATTTCATTTATATGTTCCGTTTAGGGTAAAAATAATAACTAGCTACAACTACAGACATTTGCACTTTAATTTGTCGATTGTATTTTGAGATTGTTCATAAAGGAATCTCAAAGTGACTGTTGCTGTCCCTTAACCGGTTTACCTGTTAGTACCCACGTAAAATCTGACATTATGTTAACAACAAAAAATATACTGGCACTGCTGGGTTTTGAACTCAGGAACTTATATTTGTAAAGCAGGTGCTTTGCCACTTAAGCCACATCTCCAGCTCTTTTTTCCTTAGACACTTTTAAAATATGTTTCATATTTATGCCCAGGCCAGACAGAACTGAGATCTTCCTATTTACATTTCCCATATACCTGAAATGACATGCCTGTGCCACTGCATTCACTTCTTGCTTGGTTAAGATGAGGCCACAGAAGCTTCTTCCCTGAGATAGCCTTAAACAATTTTCTGATCTCAAGCCTGGATTTGACTGTTTATTCTTACCCCAGACTGAGATATGATAGTAAAATATAATGTTTTAAAATTGAGACTGTATTTAAAAATCTGAGAAAAAGTTCCATGTATCTATGTGTCCTCCTATCAGGTTAGGATAGAACCATATACATATTGAAGGTCAGGGAAGAATGAGCTATGTCTGGGGCTATCAGCAAGGTGAAGTGTGGACCATTTACTTGATGACCAGAATCACATGATGAAGTTAAAAATATTAAATGGCATTTTGGACAGCTACATTTTTAGTCCAGCTTTTTAGACATTCAAATTGCTAACATGACACAAAATATAGAAGTGAATTTTCAGATGAACACTACTGAGTCCTTCCTATAATAGGTAGTTTTTGAGCACCAAAAGAGAAAGAGAACATGCTAGACTTCATTCTGAGTAGTGAACAGGAACTTGGGCAGGAAATGACTATGGCTGAAGAACTACCCAGTGATAATCATAACATGATTAAATTTGACATTTAATGAGAGGAAGTAAA